TTGCATAGCACCAATGACACCAGACCAATAGTGTCCCTACCAAAGTTCAAATCAAACCTACGCCCTTGTTCTACCCCTATTTTTTAATTCAACTATAATTTTACATTGAAGTCTGTCTTGATCAGCAGGAGTCGGTTGATCTGAAAAGGCCATAGAGGAGCAAGAATAAACTAAGATACACTGTAGATATCTTGGTCTCTCTAACCTATCATCTTAAATGTCTTCAAGAAAGATTACAATGCCTCATCTTTGAAAAAGTATTACTCTACCCATCTGAGATTATTATTTAGCCATATGTTGTTGATACTGTCCCTATTCTCTGAGCTTTGTACACACTTTTACTGTTATATTGCTCTGAACTCAGCTATCCTTCAGATAAGCTACTGTATATAACCATTCAGTGGTATTCTTATAACAAACTACTGAAGGAAATTCAGCTTTATGCTAATTCTCAATGAGGTTTCTGCATACAGAGACAAATGTTTCTCATTGTTGTTCTTCCAGAAAATTAGTTAAAGAATGAATAAAGATGAAGCAATTATATCTAAAGTAATGTCGACTAACTGGAAATATCACTATCTCTCCTAACTTGCAATAACTATGTTTTTGGGGCTAAACCAGGATCCACAATATTTGCTGCATTGATCAACCTTGAAAGCATAGGAATATTGATGGCTGTGTGGACTTACCCTGCTCATCATGTTCATGTCTGTAGGGGCCATGTTGCCGGAGTGGAGCTGGAAGAGGCTGAGTGCAGTCATACCTGCAGGTTCCCAGCTTTTATACACCTGGCTGAGGTTGATGGCTTTGTTTATGAGAGTGCAGACTCAGCCCATGGTTGGGTGTCAAACAAAGCTTTTTTGAAAGGGTTAACAATAATGGTGGGAGGACCTTAGCTGTTGCTTTCATCAAACAAGGAGTTTTTCAACCTGTTCACTAACAAAGTCACCTGTATCCTACCTTCAACTGGGGGCTAACAATGAGAACATTACAGAAAGTAGGACGACTTTACAGGTGAAAACACTCCCCTCTTGTTGAACACGGAGAGAAACAGTGACCAGAAATACTAAAATCTACAAACTTTCAGTTTGTGGAGCAGCAATGTGGGATGATTTCAGTCAGAAACAACAAACCAAAGATCAGAAACATCTCCAAGGAAACCATTTAGCCATGATTTTTTGCCCCAGCAACCTCAACAGGCAAAAATTGAACCTCATCTTCACCCCAAACAACCATGTGTAGACTTTGAGGCCACCTTTTAAGATTTTTAGAGGGCTTCTTCAGGACCTTCACTGGGCTCATTTACAACCCTCACAGAGTTGCTATCTTTTCATGAATTCAGGCTCGTCTGAATTCATTTTCTAATTAAATTAAACACTGGGTCATCCATTTACTCTGTGACATCTGATTATAGTTGTCAAAGCGTCTGAATCAAAAAACAATGTTTCACACTTTCTGTTTTCTGAACACCTGGACTGAAAAACCTTACTGACTTTGAAGATATCATTACTGTAATTTTGGGCGGGGAATGGGGAAAGTTGACAAAAGGTACCCTAGGGGATTTAGCAGATATAATGTATTGTTCGTGCATACCCCCTAACCCACTTTATTTTGTAAAAAAAAAAAAAAAATCTTAGACAGGTTAGAGAGCTCATGTAGCTTTATTCTGAACGTGTGCACATTTCCTCCAAGTGATTTTTCTCTTCATCTCTGACAGTTTCAGCCTCAGGCAGCAAGTGTTTCAGGTGTGCTCTTACCTGCCTAGCTGTGCTCATATTCTCTTTCATGATGGCAGCCAGAGCAGGTAGGTCCATCTTCGCTCTCTGTAACACAACAAATACCTATAACCTTTAACTCTTGATAGTAGTTTTTTATCTGTGCCATTTTTTTGTTTGTTACTTTGTTTCTTTGTACACAATCTTATCTTGTGATTGGAGCTGTAAATTGCCCCCGTGATCTCAAACCCTGTGCATGTTACATCAGATGTCTATGGGTGATTTTGTTTAGATGTGCATAAAGAGGTAAAATTGAATAATATGGTAAAATCTTATTTTATTTTTTGTTTTTTTGTATGTCAGATAAATCCAGTTAATTCCTCTGATCATCTTTCTAATGATAAGATATTTTTTAGAGTGAATTTAGAGGGTACAATAATACAGACCTTTGCTGAAATCATGGAGTCTACATAGCTTAGTCTTTTAGTGAATTTAAAGTTACTGCTGGTTCTACAGGTTTTATTGTGTGCAGGTTATTCCCTAAGGTTATTAAACTTCTTGTTTGCCAATTTGATTTCTCCATAAATTAAGTAAAAAGGGGTTTACAAAACCTGAAGAACATGTGCATGTATTGACATGATGCTCACTGTGTATTGAGCTTAACATACTGTCAGATGCCCTTCTGATAAATTATTGCTTGCATAGTTTAGTTTAGGATGGCCAAAAGGTGGATCAATACAAATAAATATAGTTAGGCAGACAGATAGATAGACAGACAGAACACAAATTATCTTGTCATTAATAAATTATGCTGTGAGGTTTGGAGTACTAAAAAGCTGTTTTAACAAAACGTTTAGAATGAAGCCTATCAGACCTCCAAATTCGGCTAAATTACTGTAAACGGCTTTTCAAATCTTTATCTGTCATAGGTTTTTTTTAGTCGCCCAGCCTTCTAGCTCCTTGAAAACTCTTAATAAAAACAGCATGTGAGAGCAGACACATCACTAGAGATCAGAGAGAGGATCAACATTCCTTTATCTCTGATGTTCTATCTTGTTGTAAAGCAGCCACATGACTTATCCTGGTCTCTGGTCCTTCAACAGATCTTTTGATTCTGTCTCATGATTATAAAAGTGATTTATTCCACTGCACTGAAGCCAATACTTTTCATCATAACAAAACCCTCAAATATGCAGCTAAATACAGTGTTGTAACCTGTTAAATCAGACATGCTAATTACTGTACCTAAGGCTCACTTTCTTCTGCATAGTTTTTAACAAACTATTCCTCTCTAAATCCATTTGCAGATTCCTTAGTGCAAAAACTTGTAATATGGTATGGTTTTTACTGACATTTATTTCAAAGGATTCCTCTGGCTAATTAATTTCTAAGCACAGACAAATAAATACATTTAGTCTCCCTGTCAGATTTAACACTAAACAATCTGCAGGCACACTTTTCCTAAAGCTCTTCAGATGTTCTTTTATGTTTGTTTTTTTTTTTCTTTTTGGAGGGGGATGTTTTAAACTCCTTTTTTTATCCTTTTGATCCACCGGTAGTAAACGTTGCGCCTGCACTGCATGTGGTAATCATCCTTCAGACTCTGCTCTTTTTTCTGATTAAGATTTAGTTTTATCACATCATAAGAGCTATGACTCAATCATTTCTGTGTTCAAAAACTTTGAACTATTGTTATTTTTTGCAAATTTAACTGTCTAATCAGGAGGTGTTTTATAGCATCCAGTAAGGGGACGGAAAGAAAATGTAGCAAAATGCTGCCCTTTTTTGTATATGAGCATCCACCACAAGTCAGCAATGACTCCAAACAAAATCTGATAAGCAATTCAAACTTCAGAGTTCCCACAGCTTTACCAGCTGTTGGAGCTGCTCATCACAGGTTGCATTTATCTTGGTTGAAGCTAAACATATAGGCGATTTTCATTACATCTCTGATGTCTAAGATCCAGCAGCTGATTTACCTGATCCACATTAGTGGTCCCAAGAACGGAATCCATATGCAGAGCTTTGTGTATGTTGGTAAGATTATCTCAGGGAATCTTTTCATGGCTATGTAGCAACAATGGGTGGGGTTTTTACTGAAGAACAGTAACCTAAAGCCTTCTCAAACAGTGCAAGAGATAGATGACATGTTGAAAAACTAGTCAAAATGAACAAGTTCAACAAAAAGGTCATGATAAAAACTGAAAACTAAACCCTTTAGAGATATAAGTCACATCCAGTGCTTCAAAGTGACATATTTTGTTTAGATTATACTGTATTTATCTGGACACCTAATGCTTATATGGTATGTGACATGACAGTCTAATTTTCTGACCCACATTGAAAGATACTCTCAGAAGGCAACATCAAAAATTGTTACAGTGATTTATTGAATGCACAGTTGAAACAAGGAATCCAAGTTGCTGGCAACGCAGGGACACGACAGGGAAACTCGTGGAGGAGACACAGCATGAGGCAATGTATAAGATGGTTTAGGATGAGTATCTGAACAAGATACTTGTGAGTGGATTAGAAGACGTTAGAAGACGTTAAGTGGCTGGTGCAGGGGGTAATCCAGGTAAAGTTCCTGAGATTGTATTTGTACTGAATTGTGCTATATAAATAATTTTTGCCTTACCTGGATTTGCCTTGAAATTGGTGAAGCAGGTGGCTGGACTGACTGAGTGTTCACTGAGAAGACTGGATGGTCAGATTGTATAAACGGGAGGTGGGGATGTCAGGAAGGAGTGATTACCAGTTGTGAAAACTTGACCAAGAGTTCAGATGAAGATTTTGAATGGTAGTTTGGTTTAAACAGGAGACCAGGATTTGGAAGCCTCAGACTTAGATATCAACTTTAACCTGTGTTAAGAAGCGATCTGGCCTCTGCTGAAATCTTGGGTGACTAAATACAAAAGAAAGTGTTGTTAGGGACTAAGCACCAGACCGAGCACTAAAAACAATTAGGAGTATATCTCTGAAACTTAGCTCGAACACATAGGTGCCAAGTGATTGGTGAACCGCTCTTATAAGCTGGAGGTAAGGAGGAGGCCATATCCACTTGTCTAAATGCTGCCTGTGGGGAAAAAGGTGATGAGTCTGTCCAGCGCAGTAGCAGAATA